GCCCCGGGAGCCCTCCCGGGACAGGCAGCACCCAGAGCCCTCCCGGGACGGGCCGCCCGGGAAGGGCCCCCCAAAGTGGGCTCCGCCGGCACGTTGGATGCCTCTGTCACCCAGGATGGGGTTTGCACGGAGGCCAGTGCCCACCCCTCGCCCTCCACACAGCCCCTGTTGGTCCTGAGAAGGGGCTGGGGGGCACGGGGCGAGACTGGGGGTCAGAGTCAGACATGGGCAGGCAGCCAGGCCAGTAGCGCCCGGCACCTGTGGTGGGGACGCCTGGAAGGCGATGGGGACAGAGAAGGGGACAGAGCCTGACAGAAAGGCCGCTACATGGGTGGCAGGGACGGTGCCCTGGCTTGTGCAGCTGTCCCTGCCAGCCACCGAGCACCTCCAGGCCCTGCTCCGGTGACATCCCCCAGCCTGGGACTACCCCAGGACGCCCACACGGGCAGCACAGCCCAGCCTGGGCTTCGCCGCCTCTCTGCCACGACAGGAAAATAAACTCCCCAGCACTGGAATTAAATAGTGTTTATTTGGTAGCATGTATCAAAATAGTTTTAAAAGCAGCTTGGAAAAAAAAAAAAATAACCAACAAGGCAGCGTTTGGTGATCGGCTCCTAGAAGAGGTGCACGGCAGCAGCGTGGCACCCCCTTTTGCACAAACATAAGCCCCAGCTTTGGGGAAGGGAGAGAAATCCCGGCCACGTTCCCAACGGGAAGCAGAGCCCCCCTCGGACAGACGCACGGAGGAGAGGGGCGGCTTCGCGGACGAACCCGCTCCGTCCTGCCGAGCAGCGTCTGCGCTCGCGGCCGGGCAGACGGACAGGGCAGCTGTGCCCTTGGCAAGGGCGGGCACGCGGCGCTGCTGCCAAGTTTGGCCGAGACACCGGGGCTTCAAACGCCCCCCACGTCTCCCCTGGCAGGGCCGAGTTTGGCGTCGGGAGCGAAGGGGGTGGCCAAACCGAGAGCCACCCTGTCCCCTCCCGTGGGTGCCAGCTGCTGGCTTCAACCGAAGCCCCGTGGCGCGTGCAGAGCGAGCGGAGCCCCGGCCCCATTGCCGGGACACAGCGGAGTTAAAGGCACTTACGGGCAGACCCGGGGGTGGCACCGGGATGGGGGGCGCAGCAGGGAGGGGTGCTGAGGATGCCAGCAGGG